GCCTTTCCTGAGCAAGCTCTGCACTGGTGGTGCCCCAATCCCACAGCTGAATCACCTTTAGGAGACGGTCCTGCTGCTTACTGGACTTGCTTGGGCGCCCTGAAGCCTTCTTCACAACAATTTAACCCCTCTCCTTGAAGTTCTTGATGATCCGATAAATGTCTGATGTAGGTGCAATCTTAGTAGCAGCAATATCCTTGCCTGTGAATCCCTTTTTGCGCAAAGCAATGATGGCTGCACGTGTTTCCTTGCAGGTAACCATGGTGAACAGAGGAAGAACAATGATTTCAAGCACCACCCTCCTTTTAAAGTTCCAGTCTGTTGTTCTAACTCAATCAGCATGACAGAGTGGTCTCCAACCTTGTCCTGGTCAATGCTGACACCTGTGTTAACGAGGGAATCACTGACATGATGTCAGCTGCTCCTGTTGTGGCAGGGCTGAAATGCCGGGGGAATGTTTTTTTGGGGTTAAGTTCATTTTCATGCCAAAGAGGGACTTTGCAATTAATTGCAATTAATCTGACCACTCTTCGTAACATCCTGGAATATATGCACGCTGCCGTCTTCCCCACTGGAGCAGCAGACCTTGTGAGAATTAATCTTTGTGTCATTCTCAAAACCTTTGGCCAGGCCTGTACACTAGGCCCAGGAGCATGGAACTTATAGTCTTCTACAGGTTGTTAAACTACAACTCCCAGCAATCCCAGCCCAGGAATTGTAATACAGCAACCTCACAAACTCCTTACTCGCACTTAGCCAAACTCTGTTGGTTACAAGGAGTTGTCCAAACTCGGGAGTTACCCCAGCAAGCTTCATATTTGGACCGTGTAGGAAGAGAGCTGCATTAACCCAGGGCAGCCAAAATTTAGAGAGAGTCCGGTAGCCTCACTAACCCTTTTATTTAAGGCATCGGCTTTCATGAACTGCATTTGCACCTGATGCCTTAACTCAGAGTTAGTTCCAAAAGAGCCTAGCAGACATTTCTTCATATTTGGACAGGAAGCAAAATTGGAATTATTGTGGCGGACAAATGCGAGCCTGCATTTTGATGTACCAGCAGAACCTTGGTCGTCTTAATTTTAGGCCGTTCCCTAGCCCAGCACAGGCTATTGATCCCTGACGGTGCTGGATTTATACAGAGGCAAGCTAGACCAGTGCACTGTCTTAAGAACATAAAGTGATTTGGCTGAGAAGAGAATGCTATGTTGAGCAGAGTACAGCAGTGCTCCCAGAAACCCTTTGCCCAAGGAAAAAATACACAC